CTCACTCAATAAATCGAAAAAATAACAACTGGTTCAACAAGCTAGTATAAGAATCATTATCCATTTAACACACGATCTAGATTTTTTCTTCTTGTAAGAACTTTACTTAGGTACTGTAGTATACTATTCTATGAGGATCTTAAAAGTGCACAAACTGCTAAGATATTTATGTACATACCACCCATGCAGTGAGGAAACTTAGTCACGAAACTTACGCCTTGAAGTAACAGAACAGCTAAATGGGGAATGAAAGGATGGTACAGCAAGCTTTTGAAGTCGAGCCTGCAAGGAATCAAAATCAGATTTAACTGTCTTGTTGCTCTGTTAAGTGTTAACATTAACATTATATTAACAGGAGAAAGCATGGTAAGCAGATCATGTTAACTTTATTTTATGCGGTAATCTGTCTGCGAAACATTCCTAAAAATATGTAAAAACAAAAACAATATGTAAAAAAATACAACATTTAAAAAGAAATCCAAACTGTACAAGAGTCACTTTGTATTGCATTTCTCAGCTCAAGAAATAGAAAACTTAAGCATTCGCTTATATCTTTTATGCCTTTACTTTAAACTTTAAACATTGAGATTTATATTGGTGCATTTCTTCTGCGAATAAACAGGCACACAAGGCATTAAATCGAATACTTATTTAATATTTTATTACGTAATGAACCACAATTACTTACAAGCTTTCCCCGAGTTCATTCAAAACAAAGTAAACTTTTGCCACGCCGCTCTTTTTAACTAATTGCGAAAACAGAACTTTCCTTAAAATGCGAGCATGGATGGGAAGTGGAGAAAGTGTTGTTGTTGCTGCTTAGTTTTCTCGTCCATGAATTATTAGTAAAAAACATTTAATAATGCACTTCAATCTCTCTGAGCAAACTCTTTGCCGAAAGAGTACCCACCCTCCCCCTCCGGTTTTGCCGCCCACCAGCCCATTTGGTTACCGGCTTCATGCCAGCAATTTAATTAATCTGCACAAAATATGCAACACAGCAAAAGTTTGCCAGCCAACAAACGCAGACAGACACATAAACACACATAAAGCCAGACGTTCACACATGTGAAGAAATGGCCACAGTTATAATGCTTGACACATAAAAAGTGTGGGCGTGTGTTAATGCTTTTGTCTGTGCACAGAGAGAAATTTCTAGTCAGTTCTATCTGGTCTTACTGTACTGTACTGTAACTAATGAGAAACTAAAGCTTGCCAATCGTGTCAGATAAATCATAGACTTTTAAACATGTATTTCACTGTGAATAATCTTGATTTTAAGATTCCTCGAGATAATTTTCATTTCCTCGCTCTAAAATCCCCTAATTGGATACTTGGAAATGCAATTTCTTGCGGTGTATGCTCGAGTGCTTTGTAGTGCCTAAAAGCAGGCAACAGCGAAGTGGCAAAGGGCAGAGAGCATCTTCAGAGGAGCAACATGAGAAGCTGCAGCAGTGGCAATAAGATTACTTAATTGATTTAAATTTGCTTGTCTAGTAAAGAGATAGTGGGCGGGGGGCGGTGTGGGATGATGTTGCACAGTGTCGCAAGCGATAATGAAGTTGTTGACAAGCTCGTGGTCCAAAGGCAGGAAAATGCAAGGCAACAGCAGCCGTGACAATGGGAATAGGAAATGCAAGTAATTGAAAAGCAGCCGAAAGGAAAAATCCACTGGCAGCACAAAAATCTAGGAAACTTTGTAACATATTTAATTTCTTAAGTAATATGCATACACACATGTTGAAGTAATTGAAATATTCGTTGAATGCTGGTTTGTAATACATTTTCATTTAATAAATCAAAAATTACCCAAGCTGTTATGCAAAGCTACTAACTTTAGGTTTTGTTATTTTAATGCGACTAACTGGCATTCAAATCGTTTTTCCCAGTGTAGTCACTGAAGCTTTTCAGCCAGGATGTCGTTGCGGATAATGATGAGACGGCTGACGTTGATGGCAGCGAAGGAGACAACATGTCGGCTGCATTATATTCATAACTTGTATAATTAATCACATCACGCTGTAAGGAAAGCCCAAGAATTATATTCAATTTGACCCAATGCCCTTGTATTTGTGTGCGAGATTTATCCCGGCCATGTCCACTGCGTCAATTTAGCCCAATGCACACGGCCATAGTCCACAGTCCTTAAGCCGCCAAATCATGGCTCCAACAGCGTCAACTGACCCCCAAAGGCATCTTTTTGTTGCTCTTGTTTTCTGGCCATGTGTGTATGTGTGTCTTGTATCTGTGTATGCCCCTTTGCGGTTGGCTGTTATTACGCCGCGGTGCCACTTTTGCCACCCATTAGGACCCCTGCACAGAAAACAAATATTTGTTGTAACTTACAGATCAATTTTGTATATAGCACAGCTATAAAAATTATGCTAACTCGCAACAGATACATAAACAAGAAATAATTGAACCTTTTTACATGCCAATTCACAACGTTTTCTTGTTAAATTAATGTGAAAATAGTAAAAACTTCGATAATATCAATGGGACCATTAAAATAAACATTATTCAGTTGTACTTAAATGAAAGCAAAGAGCTGCAGCTGAAAGAACCATGCGACTTATATACCTTATTGCCCCTCCAAGACGATAGCATTGCTTAGCAATGCAGCTTCGATTTCGCTCAGTGTACGAGCTGTGCTCGTTAGCCTGGCCATGGCCAACAGGAGCCGTAACAACAAGGACGCGGATATAGATGCAGACTTGGACAGGGGCTGGCAGCTTAGTCATGCCTGCCAGTGCTGCGTCGACATCATAGCTTTATCTTTACCCGAACCCGAACCCAAACCCCTGCCACGCCCATTATCCAGCCAATCCAGCGCCCACCGCCCACCCCCCGCTGTTGTATGTGACTTGCATGCGGCGCTGAGCGCCAAAGTTTTGACTTCAATTTGCCCAGTTACAAATTTTGGTCTTCTCCGGCGGTTTTTCTCCGCTTTTTCACGTTGTTTTGCTTTTTTCGTGGCTTCGACCCATCTTGCAAATAAAAAAAATATAGAAAAGAACGTAAACCACAGTCAAGACGGAAGCAGGAGCAGCAAAATGTGGTGAAAGACTTGACCAGCATTGGGCGACGTGTTTTGGCCACATCAGCCGCATGCCATCATCATCATCATCACCAGAGACAACGGCCACAATAGATGGGGTTGGATGGTGAAAGTAGTTAAGGCCCATTCCTTGGAGCGATGACAAATCAGCCGCAACTAGACAGTTGCAGATGGCAAATGTGACAGGAATTCGGGAATATTTCAAATATTACAGGTCAAAAGATATAATACATATGCAGCTCAGAATTTCTTATAAGCGCAGTTCTAGTTAACTCTGTAAGTCACAAGCTGGGATTTTCAACCATTTATTTATTACATACAATTTCAATTGCAATTGTGTAATTGCGGGAAATAAATCAGTTCTATTACTTGATGCTTAGGCTTGAATTTACTTTTAGCATAGCCAAGTTCAAGTGTTCAACGACTCTGGGGCAAGAGCGAAATAATGCGAAACGTCTTTGCACTTTTGCCTTTTCTGGGAAACGGAAATTGGAAAAATACTGGCGGCATTTTGTTGGACAGGTCGACGTCGTCGGCGGGTTGGGAAAATAAAAGCGAGCCAAAGTGAAGTGAAGTGCGGGAAAAAAAACATACAAACTGTCAGTGACAGCATTAAAACTAACAGGAATGGAGAGCGGCATTCTCAGCATTTTGCACATTCCTGGGGCCATCGACAGGATGCAGGACGAGCACGAGCACGAGAACGAGGACCCCAAAGTGAGCGAACTAGCCTGCGACTCGTGTGGCATGCCACATGCAATTCAATAAGTATTTCCCACTTACCACGGCCATAAGGGCTGATTTGTGCGGAGCGAGTGCTGGGAGGGGGGCAAGTATTTCAAATGCATCCCAAACACTTGCTGCGGAATTCGTAATTGTGTCACATAAAGAGGCACCGAGGAGTCCTGGTCATAACTATAACCCTATGGCTACGTGATTCAAATCCGGCGAAAAGCCAACAAACTCAGAAACGCCAGGACTGCCGTCGCTTTTCCCCCTAAAACCCCCTTCCCCTAAGGACAACGCCCCTCCTCAATCTCCCTTAGTCCCGTCCCATAGAAGCCGCCTTACCGATTGATTTCATGGTCTGCCCAGATCCCCTCCAGATCCCTCGGAAATGGCCGGTCAACCACAGCAGATTTTCATTTCTTCGTGTACGAGTAGTGTAGTGGTGCGCTTCGTCACTACTTGAACTGATGGTGTAGTTCAAATCTGCCGCCTCTTTGCTCTTGCAAAAGCTGAAAACTTCAAAACTCAGCGCCACTTTGACCGGAACCAGAACTTAAAATCTCAAATTAAATGAGTCTGTGTGGAGGTGAAAAGCTGCCGGATATATTGAAAGCTCAGGACGTAAAAACTCAGTGCCAATTTGAACGGAACCGGGAACTGAAAATATCCAATTAAATGAGTCAGTGTGGAAGGTGGATAGCTTCCCTAATCCGAAATGGAACCATTTTTAAGACCCACCGACTTTGAGAAAGGGAAACTGTTCAAAAGAAATTAAAAGTACTTGGGCATGACAAATTTATAAGTTCAGTGACCATTAAAAACTCAAATATATATATATTTTTTAATTTTTATTAAAAATGTAAATTCTGAAAATGCGGAATACCATAGTTCTCTATACCATTGACAAACTTCTTAGGTTCTGTTTTCTCTATATGTGGTTTGCCGCGCTTCGATCAATTGCAATATTTCTGGTAAGCTGCGATGAACTTTTTCGACTGTTTACATTTTCAATAGCATCGATTTCTTCTGGAGATTACAATTACAATTATAATGCTGCATTATGCATGTGTAAGAGTTTGTGTCGTGTTTATAGGTATGTGTTATGCTTTTTCTTGGGGCCTTGGCAGCCACACAAATTGTGTCGATCACAAAAAAAAAAAGAAAAACCAAGCAGAAGGGCAATATACATAGATAATATATATATACGATGTCATATTTTATATATATGTATATTCTTTATTATATACTCGTACAACTAAAGTCCAAGCGTAGTCGTCTGACTGACTGACCGATCGGCAAAATGGGAGAGTGTTTGCTGAGTCACAAGCTGAATCTGTGGAATTTGATTTAGTTGCCTAACACTCACTTAGTTATACATATATATATATAGACGTACATATATACGCGACCGCATGTTGTATAATTTATGTTATATTGGTATATATATATATATATATTTTCTAGGCATATCCAATATTGCGCGAAGCAAGCAATTCGTTTCACATCTAAAACTTCATCTCTCGATGGAAAGCATTTTCGTAATACAATTTCTGGTTTTTCGGTTTTCTTTAGTTTTTTTTGGGCTTTTATTTTGGGTTTTCTTATCTTGGGTATTTCTTTAAGGTTTGGCCACGACGCTGAGACGATCTACGATGTTTGTGGCTGATGTTGAGCTGTCCAAATGCACCATAACCAGATGAGGCCTCGCTCCCCGTTTACTGCTCCTCGTCACCCAACTCGTGCTTGATCTTGGAAAAGTCAAACGTCTCGCCAGTGCCGCGCTTGAATATGTTCAACACATCCAGGCAAGTGGTCTCAAAGTGCGTGGTCGCATCATAAGACTCCGAAATGAAGATTTGCGACTCGGATCCATCGTCGATCGGCTCCAAGTAGTCCGAAATGGTCACGAACTTTTGTGCGATCGGCTCCAGCAAGTCCAAGCCTGGCTTGATCTCCACCTCCGGGTTCTCGGTCTCAACGGTGGTCGAGACCATGCCCACGAACCAACCCTTGGCGGCCACCTGGTGAGTGGAGCTCACTAGCGACACATAGATGTCCGACTTGCGGCCGACCTGCTTTTGTGGAATGATAATCTGCGTGGAGAGACCATCTTTGGTGCTGGCCACCGGATGGTCCAGAATGCAAATGCAGCGAATCACCTTGCCACGCTTGCGCACCTGATGGATAAAAGGGAGGAGCAACAATGTATATCAGTCATGATGGTTATGCCCATTAGATTTAAGGCTTATTTACAAAAGTCTTTTGTGGATCTCACCTTCTCGGGCACGTAACTGGGATCGCAGTAGACCTGCTTGCACTTGGCGACCTCGTCGCCGGAGCGCACGCCCACCACCTTGCCGCCCTCGCCGAGGACGATCTCATCGATGGGCTTGTCCAGCATGTAGGTGCCGCCGTAGATGGCCGACAGGCGGGCGAATCCCTGGGGCAGTTCACCCAATCCGTACATGGGGTATAGGTAGGGCGATTTGCCGTACCGCGCCAGCGAATCGGAGTAGAGCTTGATGCGCCGGATGGTGTTCACGGCCGGCTCGTTCAGATACTCATCGTCGCGGAAAAGGGCCAGGGCGTGGCCGGTGAAGTCCTGCGTGTTCTTGTCCAGTCCGAACTTGTCGTACAGACCCTGCATGTTGGCCTTGGTGGGGTCAAAGTCCTTCCAGGTCTTGGGGTCATCTTCTCGGAAGTCCTGCACGTAGACGAGGAAGTTCCGGAAGCGACGCTTCTCGAACATACCTGCAAGTATAGTCACACTTGTATATCTATATCTAGATCATGCCATATTGGTCAGTTTGGGGTTCAGAATCTGCATATAAAAGGGAGTGCACGAACCAAGGGTTTCAAGTTTCCCGTTTCCATTTCATTTGCATGCCACAAACACACACTTCTACACACACACACACTGGGAGTCCAGCACGCAACTACAGTTGGAAACCTTTAATTTAGGGGGCGGAGGACACACCACCAACAATCAGAAGCCACTTGGCCACCCTGTGACGTCATTTGGAGCATATGTGTAACGCGGACACAGTGAAGCATGAGCAATTAGCAAATTGAGACATGCAATCTGAATTTTCGCCACAGAAAGGTCTACAAAAATGATTTACTTATTATTAAATTTTTTTTTTTTTTAATGTTGCAAATGAATGTGCCAAATCGGTTAAATGGAAAAAGTAATACTTTTGAGGACAGGAACTGTTTTCTTATAGGCAATCTGCACTGTAAAGTGAAGGGGTTCAATGCGCCTGGCCGAAAAGCTGGTTGCAAAACTAAGTAAAATTGAAATGGAAAAATTCAAGAGCCAATCATAAATAAATAGAGCGTGTTTTAGCTAATTGCATTGCTGCCACGAAGAGGAATAAAAAACTTAAATTTCAAACAGCGAAATTCAGGTGTAAAATGGAGGCGACCAATTAGAGGCAGGTGTATGAATCAGCGCAGAGCGATTCAAATTGGGACTCCAATTGGAATAGGGCGATAATGGTTGGGCAAACAAACGTGGTGCGGAAATGCAAATGCGTGGGGGGGAGGGGGTTTAACTTTGGTATAAATTCTTTGCCCAGCGAAGAAAACAACTGTTTTTCGGCACACACATACGTGTCACATTAAAATAAGGGAATAACAACAACAAGAGCGTTGCCAGCGAGTGAAAAAGCGGAGACAAAGAAGAGAAGAGAAAGAGAGCGGTGCGGGCGAGTGAGGGGAAGCAGATAACAGTCGAGTACGAAAATACATACATACACACGCGCACACACAAGCACAGCTGGTAATTTGCACAATTTTTCGAGGGGGTCCCCCCACCCCCCACCGTGACTCCTACCCAGGCAAAAAGGCAACGGGACTTAAAAGAGCATTATTAACGAACCCATGAGATCGGATGCCAGGGCCTCCTTCTGGTCCACCGGCACCTTGGCTATCTTGCCGCCCTTGTAGACGTAGCTGCCCTCGATGGACTTGAACTCCAGATAGCGGGTGACGCCCGTGTGGATCAGCAGCTTGACCAGCTGGCCGTTGGCCATCAGGAACTTGGGTATCAGGTCCACGTTCCAGTCGCGGCCACGCCCAAACCGATCGCCGGGCGGCTCCAGTCCGTACCGCTGGAAGAGCTCCTCCAGCGGCGTTATGGAGGCGGACTCGCCGCCGTAGTACTTGTTTCGATCAATATGCAGCACCTTCTTGCCGGACACGGACAGCATCCCGCTGAGGATGCACTCCTTGAGGCCCGTTCCGAGCACAATCGCATCGTATTCCTCATTCATCTTGGATCGCACTTATTTATATATTGCAATCACAGTAATTTATATATAGTTTTTTATCCGGTTTTCGCCCTTTTCACTTGCTGCGACGTTCGATTTGGTGGACTTTTCTCTGCGCTCAATAATTTTTCTCTACTCGTTCGTCTTTCGCTCGTCCGCTTTGCGCTGGCCGTTTGCCGTCACGTCGTTTGCTGGTCACGTCACGTTACGTTTCGTACATGACAGGGCTGCATTGCAATTAGTTGTTATCGGCCGCTAATTGTGCATGGAAATTGGGAAAAAACGAAACGGCCAGGCAAGATATTTCATTTTACACAAAAACATTAATTTACGAAAGTAAATTGCTTGCAAGACTTTGCAATCAATTATGATTTTGCGATCCAACGTTTCATTCATAGGTTATTGGTGTTCCAGGACTGCATGCTGGGCGCGCAAGCTTATAGTTGCAAATTTAAATTATATTAAATAAATACGTTGGTATAAATAAAGAAAACGAGACATTGCGAAACAAAAAATCATTTGAAATTAACATTTGAATTTCACATTATCATTTGATAATCATGCAATCATGGTATTTTTTATTGTATACAGATTTAAGCTGTATCGAGTTGGCAGTTACATGATAACTCCCCGCACCATTTCTTGCGCATTCGTGCACTACTTGTTATTCTGAAAGAATTATAATTAAACAATTCCATTTTACAAGATATATAACAATTTCAAATAACCACAAAATAATGTGCACTTGATATCGGGTCCAATTTCGGAACACTAGGGGCATTCCTCTTACAGCTGTTAGCACGTCTGGTCACACCAGCCCGAAGCCTCTGCAAAGTTTTTCTGGTGATTTTGGTTGAAACGACGAGCCGATTCGGACGCGATTTTTGTATCGGGTTTATTTCGGTTGTTACGTTCTCTTCGCGTCGTTTCTTGTTTCTTTGTTTCGTCGGATTTTCGCGCGTGCAGCGAGCAAGGAAAACTAATCATACATAATCATACATTTTCGTGGAGCAAAAACACACGGCAATGTAAATGCTTGATTATATTTTCATTTAAAACGGAGCCAAACAACTGTGTACTTGTGTGAGTGTGTGTGCGTGCGGTGGCTGCGTGCTTGTGTGGAAAAGTGAAAATGCTATTTGGGCCATAATTGTATTGAAATTCTTAGCAACAACAAACCAAACCTCGAATTCGTGGCAAAAAAGAATTAAAAAAAATTCAAAAACGGAAAACCCCAGAAAAGGAAGGGAAAAAAGTGAGCGGCTCAGGGATTTTCATGCGGTGCTCCAAGTGAAATAATGTCTTTGGGAAATAATTATTAATTGCAATTCCTTCTCTGATGAAATGTACAAGAAGAAAACAGAGAGATAATCCCCTGTCCCGCTCACACTTTCTGCCTGACCTCGGTTATCATATGTTACCTCCCTGTTCTTGTTGTTGCTTTGAATGTGCTGCAACATTTTTGTATTGTTGCCATGCTGAAAAGTTGTTTTCATCCCCGTGTAAAAATAGTTTCAAACAAAAAATATAAAACAAAACCCCCACGAAGGCAAGGATAAAATACCACCAGGCAATTGAATTGATCGCAAAAAGGAGCAAATAAATCCACGTCAACGATTTTATTGGGTAAGTTTTTCGTTTAAACCAAGTTGCCATACTAAAAATTGCAAAGGCAAAAAGTCGGAGGGAAAAAAAACATAATAAGCCACAGACGGCGGCAATCTACAGAAAAAACAAGTTGGTTGCCAAGAACCAGTTAAGCGTTGCAGACCAACTGCCCCGCCCACCGCCCTCGGTCCCCATCCTCCCAAAAACAAAAAAAATACGACGGGTTTTTACCTGCCCGCATCCATCTCGCTTACTCCTTCAGACACAGCCTCCGATCGTTCTGGCCTCTCCCCCTCTCTTTCTCTCCCTATCTCGATCTCCCTTTGTCTCACCGGCATTTGATTAAAGGCAAACGATTCAAACAGTCGCGGTTTTAATTTTGCTTTTCGTTTTTCTGCGGCTTTGAATTCGTTTGCACCGTAATGCAGTAAAGATGCTGGGCCTCACTGTGCACAGTGGGACCAGAAACAGCAAGTTGACTGCGTTGGGCGGGGTGAAACCGACCCCCACATAGTAGTATCTATTTTGAGTTAAGCATTTGTTTTCCTTCCTTAAGCCGGTGAAATTGAATTCAATTGTGAATAATGGCTATGGTGTTTATTAACATCACATTTTATTACTTTTCTAAATTACAAATTTTTGTCTTTAATAACTTTGAGAGTCTATCCGACCAATAAAGTGTGCTGTATGGATGTTTTTAATGCTGATTTCAACCCAAATGTTGAGACTATAGTGGAAACATTGTTGCCGATCAGCAATTCAGTGGATGCTAGCAGCTGTAAAAAATTTCCGTTGTTTACCTGGCGGGAAAAAAGAAATTTCACTTACCTGTGACGTGTTTAAAAGTCCACAAAGGCGTACTTTTTATTGCATTTCCTACGTTATAAGGGGCAAAAAGGGGTTACTCTAGTTTCGTGTTGTAAATTTGTTGTAAAAATTTGTAAGACCTATTCTGGTCTTATTTTTACCCACTGTGCGATGTCTTCGGGTATTTCTTCATCTACCTCCCTCCCCTTTCGTCTTGTATTCAATTGAGTTCAACGGTAGTTGACGTTACTCGTTTGCTAATTGCAGTTGAGAGATGGAGAGAGAGAAAGAGAAAGACAGAGAGCAAACAACAACTTTTAACTGTTTGTTGATGCGTTGTTTGCTCGTTTGTCTCTGCTTCATGCAATCTATTAGTCGCTCTCCCTCGCACGCCCCCACTCTCCTCCCTTCCCCACAATGACGCTCCATCGCTCTCGTTTGCTCCAAGTACCGTTAAGACGGAGCTTGAGGCAATTGACTCCGATTCGCAGTCCACAATCCACAATCCGCAATCCGCGTTGCAGTCGACGCGAAAACAGCAAAAAGACGAATCAGAGGCAGAAACAAAGCGAAACAGCGGAAGCAGTCGACTTATCTCCTGTTTTTACAGTTTAACGCCGCCGATTATGGTTGGCTTAGTGCTCGTTCGATGTTTATAGCCAAAATATACCCACTGTTTGCTATGTGTCCAAACAGTTGACACCTACCGCCATTAAAATAGCAAAAATGTATACCAAATGGTATTTAATCTTGAACTTTTAATTAGTCAAGTTGTAAGTTTGAAATTTGTAGTTCCATTTAATTGCAGGCATTACTGTACTCTTAAACTACGAAGTAATGTGAATTCCGTATTTTAACGATTTCCCAACCCAAACTGAAACCGGTCTTATTATCATATAATAGGATCATCTAATTAATAGTTGTTTAGCCTAAATACTAGTCACACAACATGTGTGCATGCAATAATCAAAGTTATTAAGCCAAAAAACACTATTAGATTTAAATCATATTACATTTACAGATGTATGTTGGAAATACTGATGTTCTTATTAATTTTGGGATATTGAGATTTTTCACAGAGGTTTTTCATACAGAGTTTCTGCAGAATACTTTGGATACAGATGGATGATTGGACTGCCACATACCCCTTACGAACACGTGTTAGCTTTGATAAACGAATTCCACTCCAATCTCCACGAAGTACGTGGCTTGGCCACATCGCGTGGCTGTTTAGCTATGGGTCTTATCACTACGTCAGCTGTCAGAGCTGTATATTACTATGTGGACGCTGAACATTCAAGTGGCGTTGGGCTTATTTGTAGCAATAGCTGCCACCACCCCTGGTAAATTAGTATATTTATTCCTGGCCTAGCTTAATTGATTACTCATTGCGTTCTCATGGTTCGACTGCGAATTGAGTTTTCGGCTACGGAATGGATAATAAAATATGCGATTGGGAATAGTCAATTCGCATGTATAGGGCTCGTAAAACTCCCTTTTGTCATTATGATTTGTGCCTTATCGGTTATCACTTTATTTATAAGGCCTTCCTTATCTTTCGCAACTTTTTTTGTTGTGACAAAGAGGTGGCGACACTATTCATTTTCCTTTTGGAAAACCTAAATATACAATTTTACAAATAAGTTGCCGTACTTTGTTATGTAAACATATAATGGGTTTGTTTATTGCTAAACACCAGACGTTGACAAATTCTAAAAATACTCTAAAGGGAAATCACATGTGTTTACCAAACAAGATCAAAGAAAAAAGTAAAAAAGAACATCTGTGTCCATCTCTATAGAACTGTGCATTTCTGCTGACCGCAAACAATGGATCTCCTTCAACTGCAATATGATCTCATTTTTGTCTAAGATGATGCTGTTTGCCTTATCGCATACTGTACAATATATTTCCCCTTTCTTTTTTGCTACATTATTTATGATGCCATTCCTGAGATTCGCTACTGATATACACCTACTTATATACACCTACTGATTTATTACTTTAAAGAATAATAATAAGATTATTGAAATTGGTATTTTAAGAGTGCTATTGTTATGTCTCAGATCATTTGCTGTTTTACTGCCGTGCACTTTCTGGTTCATAGAAAACGAAGTACTTTTGCTTGTTTTCTATTCCCCTTTCTGTATACCCAACTTTTTGCCATTAACTTTAATGACTTGCGATTGAGCAGGTGTAAAAGGGGGAGGCAAGTGGCAACAGGCAGGGCCTATTGTTTTATTACTTACTTAGTTGGTATCGAAAGCCAATCGATCTCTGGCACCGTGGTAAATTGAGAAGGAATGCGAATAATTGAATACATTAGTATGTTAATTTGGACTCGGGCGCTTTGCTCAGGTCAAAGTTTCAATCAGACGTATATTTAGTGTAGGTGCACCGTTGTTGTCTAGTTAGCGATGAGTGCGTGAGTTCGTGAATACGAGAATTCGATATATTATAGTTAGGATTGACAAGGAAAAATTACATAGTATTTTAAATTATTTAGAAAGTAAGAGTATGTAGAGTATGTAAAAAAATATTTTTAATACGTAACTGCGATTGGCCGTCACGACCTCTCCACCATCGGAAAAATTAACCCTGTCTGTCAACTGGTGACGATGTAATTGAATAGATAGCAATAGCAAGCTGTGGAGGCGCCCCCGTCAACAGTTTCTAATTAGTTGCGAAACTTGTTGCCCCTTTGTGGAGATGGGTGTTTCGCTTTTGCCAGCCTCAAATTTGCCCGGTTGGCGCGAATATTCTCAGAGTGTTGGAAGATTCCCATGTCAAATGCCAAAGCATCGTAAATTTGAAACTCCATTGTTCAGTTTCACAAAGATGCCTTAAT